GTTTCGCGGCTGCTGCGCCGAAATCTATGAATAACTGTTGTGGATTACAGACTGAATCATCTCTACTTGCGTTTTGCTCATCGTGTGTGTGCGCCTTGCCCTGCTGGTGACAGAAAGCATGCAGAGAGAAACTCGCCCTACCGTTAGGTGAGCGTGTAGCATCCCTATAAACTTACCAGTGCTGTGGTGTGCGCAACACACGACGTCACGATGACTGAAATGCCGTTTCCTTTACTTCTGCTAACAGAAAAGGGAAGGGTGTTTGTGCAGGGATTTAAGGAACGGCTAGTCTGTCACCTAGAGGCTTTCTGATTTTAGCTATATCAGGAGAAGAAATTTCAAATAATTTGGCTGCAGTATGAAGGAATTGTGTGCTTCCCCGATTCTGCGCAAGGTGATGATGGCTAAAAGCAGGCTTCTGTGGAGTTCCATAGCTGTGTGGTCTGCACTGCCTGCATATGCGCTGCTGTTGCTGAGGTGGTTGCAGGTGTGTTATTCTGCTTGTCAAAACTTACTGAGCATATTTGGGTTTGGTGTTTTGGGGTTGGTTTTTTTTTTTAGTAGGTCAAAGGAGAGTTTACGAGCTTTTTTAAAAAAGAAAAAAAAAGGGGACGGGGAGTTTAAACGTGACGGCAATATCCCAGGTAATCTCTTCATGTTTAGTCTCTAGGTCCATTAGATCTCAGTATTTGTGGAAACCTACCTTTCCTTTTTCAGTTTAGGAGGGGTAGCACAGAAGGCTTGTTAATGTGCTAACTGTATTGTGAAACTTATTTTTTTTTTTTCCCCCCCTGAGGCCAGGGAAATCTATTGGTTAAGTGCTTGAAATTTTATCTTCAATATTTTACTGTACCAGAATTACCTCAGTAAAGATATGAGGAGAACGAGGGACTTAGATTGTGTTTATTAAAAAGCAATCAGGTGCCATTGCTATAATTGATTTAAAGGATAAAAAAAATTATTAATGATATTGGTTTAATGATACAGATCTGAGACAGATCTTACTGGCATGTAGTTGTTAGAGTGTGTGAATATTTTAAGGTACAGTACATTTAGCAAGTAGTTGGGGAGGAAAGGGGAAGAGCAGTTAGACATTAGATCAATTTTAGCGGTGCTGTAAAACTGCACGTTTGGGCTCATGATTTGCCTTGAATGCTGTGAATTTTGTATGTTTGTTTTCTGCAGACAGTTCTCTGTTAAACTTTCTTGAACATGGTGACACAAGTAGCCAGGACAGTCGATGCATGCTACTTACAAAGAATTCGTGTAAATGCCTGAATAAAATCTCTGATAACTAAGTTAGCAGCTTCCATGGCTGGATGCTCCGAGGGAGTTGAAAGTGTCAGGAGGTTGTTGCCCAGAGTGTGCTGCAGCCAAGTGCCTGCCTGCCTGTGTTGCACTGCGCTGCAGCAGGGACATTACATTGCTTTACATCTGGTTTTCTCTGGAAGGTTGCCACAGCTATGTTAAGGTACAAGGACTATTATGTGAGGGTTGCCCAGTTGTCTATAAAACATACCAAACTGTTACGTATTGCTTACGTTAGCTGGTGCAACAAGTTGAATTGCTGCATATGCCAGAGTATTATAGATGAGCTGCAGGGCTAGTGTATTTTGGGTACACAAAGGGAAAAGTCAGTGAATATGGGCAGTGTAGGCCTGTCTGGCCCCTACGCAAGGAGGTTCTCCAAAAGCCGCTGGAAATCGCAGCTGTTCTCAGTGGGCTGGCTTGGGTTTAGTGGTGGGATGTAGGAGATGACCAAACTTCAGCGATGCTGGATTTGTGCTACTGGGAAGGCATTTTCTGCAGGACCTGGTGGGTAAAATGTGAGTGTTTTCTGAAAGCTTTGTGTTTTCTTTGGGGGTTTTTTTGTGTTTTTTTTGTTTGGTTGTTGTTGGTTGTTTTTTTTAATGGTATAGGTACAATGTAAGTCTTTAATCTCAGTTTTCAGATATTGTCCATAAGAGCTCTGGGCTAACAAGTATTTCTTTTTGTTTGCGGTTCATAGAGGAGGTGGGTGGGTAACAACACTGAAACTGAAGGCCTCTTTAGATTTGGTCTGGGAGCCTCCTGCGCTTAGTTTCAGGAGTTCATGGGTGAGACTTCATTACAGATCAGGTCAGTGACAGTTGTGTTCTGTTCATATGTACTAGGAAAGGAATTGATAGAAGTTGGATGATTGTGTAACTTCAGATCTACCACTCATAACTTGGGTACTACAATGCTGGGATACTTTGAGTCAGTAAGTGTCCATTTCTGATTCCTACATGTTCATTCTGTAAACAAACTACCTGGTGTGAGCTTATGGGGCTATTTTCCTTTAAGCTGTGTTTTCTATTGTAGTTTTGTCTTTACTCTGAGCTGACCTGCTGGATACGTTATGGGAGGAAGAAGGACTTATCTCAGCTGTGTGTGGCTCTGTTGCACGTATGACGCAAATAAAATATTGTCCCCCGGGGAGAACAGGTAGAAGTATCAGAAATGGCGAATACTGCATTGCAACAACTAAGTAGTGCAGAAGGGGGGCTGCCTTGGCTGGATGGGAAGTGTGGTGAGAACTTAAGGGAGAAGGTAGAGGTCAATTCTTAACTGCAGGCTTCTGCATACATACCTGCAGAAGGAGAAATACTAGATTGGTGAGAAAAAGTAGTTTTTTACATTTTTGGTTTATTAAAGTATTTTTGTATTCTATAACTATGAGAGGTAGCAAAGGCTCAATCTCTAGAGTGGATGCAGCTTGAGCGGTCAACTGCCTTTATAGTCCTGCCCTGTGCACATCCAGATGCAGACATTGGACAATGCAGAAAGTTAAATGTCTCTTTGTCAATGTTCCCAGTGTTGCAGCAACACTAATTAGCCTTTGCCAGAACTTGCTTCTTGTAAGGATTTGATTCTTCAGGGGTTTTTTTGTTTGTTTTTTAAGAATACAGTTGTCTGTGTTGGGTATGTTGACTTTTCAGGTCACGCAGAGATTTTCTTTGAAAACAGTGAAGTACTATTCCATTACTGTTGCCTGGCAGTAATCCAGTTGGCAGTTTTCTTTCTTATCTCTGTTATTCTAACTTTATGCTCTTCCTTCTTAATCTGTCTCCTATGTTATTCTTTCCTAATTTGTAAATCAATTATTAGTATTCTGCGGTGGTTTGGGGACTTCAGAAGACATTGTGCTGAGCAGCCATGCCCTGTGCAGGATTGCTGGAGAGAATCTCGGAGTGCCAGGAGGTTTGTTGTGACTAGGAGAGTCGTCTTTACATTTAGAACAACGGGTCCATTTTCTTTTATGAAGGTATTTGGATCCTAAATCTAATTTTCCTAATGACAGAAAAGGGAAGAGATTGTGGATGTATAGTCTATTTGGGAGATATTTGTAGTGGGATAGAAATAGTGATAACATTGTTTTGTTCCAAGAAACCCACAGTTCTCCACCCCAGCCACAAACCCTGAAAACCCAAGTGGTTTCTTGGCCAAATTCAACCTCAAATAAGCCTGTTTTTTCACCTATTCTCCTTGAGGACACCAGTGCTACAAGGAAACATTACGTGAGAAAGGGGGTCTGAAAAGTTTTTGGTTTGCAGTTGACAGAAGAATTGATGTTGCTTTTATAAAATAACTTTATTTCCAGAGAAAAACAGATGTGGTGTCACTTTACTAGAAGAACAAAGCAGAACTAGCTCATGTTTTGATGACTTTAGGCTTTCTCAGGTTACCCATAGAGTATATAAGAAATAGCAGGTCGTGTATTTTGTTACAGTGAGGTATCTCTGATGTGGTCTGACAAAAGAGATGTTTGTAAATGAGCAATGTTTATATTTGAAGTTGAGGCATTGAATTTAAATTGTCTTTCATAATGACACAATCATACAGAACATGTGCCTAGAGGCATCAAAACTGTTGAGATGCAAATCAAGTACATTTTTTCCAAGTGGCTCTGAACCTGTCTTCATCTTCCTAGTTTGCTTGCAGTGCGCATATCCTGTATTTTGATTACAGTTAAAGAAAAACCTTCCTTGTAAATATGTGCACATGCAAGCAGTATTGAGAAGTTTATATAATGTGAAGGGGAAAAGAAATGTAAACAGTATTGAGAAGTTTATATAATGTGAAGGGGAAAAGAAATGCAGACTGGTTTGTATTTTAATATTTACTGTTCTGCCTCGAAGAAGGAATTTGAGGAGAAAATGATATAGCTAACATATGTCCCAGAATTAACAATTCCTACAAAATTGTTATCCTTTGTAATAAAGCACCTACGGTATCTCTTCTCCATCTATTAGTGTCTTGCAAAGACTAATAAAACTATTGATGTAGCTGTTATATTGATTTCACTGATTGGAAAAAGGAGGGACAGGATTTCCTGAAGCTATTACAAAGAACCTTGTGGTGTTCTTCTAGCTTCTAGCCCAGTGCTTGGGCTAGATTTGCTATGTATTGTTTCCCTCTCTTCTAGCTCTTGGGTTGTGGGCCTAACTATTTCTTCTTCAAAATAGAACATTTTGGTTTTAGGCTCCCCCTTTCTCTTCCAGGTGTTATTTTTGCACCTTATGGCCCTGTCTGGAAGCAACAGAGGAAATTCTCTCTCTCAACACTGCGTCATTTTGGAGTAGGAAGACATAGCTTGGAGCCTAAAATAATTGAGGAGCTGAAATTTATAAAGGAAGAAATGCTGAAGCATGGAAAGGATCCATTTAATCCCTTTCCGATCATTCGCAATGCAGTGTCCAATGTTATCTGTTCCATGGCCTTTGGCAGGCGTTTTAACTACGAAGATGTTGAGTTCAAGACGATGCTGAAGAACATGGCCCGCGCACTGGAGCTAAGCGTGAACAGCTCTATGATCCTGGTCAATATCTGCCCTTGGCTGTACTACCTTCCCTTTGGGCCTTTCCGGGAACTTAGGAAAACAGAATTAGATATTACTGCTTTTCTAAAGAAAATAATTGCACAGCACAGGGATACACTGGATGCAGCAAATCCCAGGGACTTCATTGATATGTACTTCATCCATGTGGAAGAAGAAAAGAACAACAAGGAGAGCAGTTTTAATGAAGACTACCTATTTTTTATCATTGGTGACCTCTTCATTGCAGGCACAGACACTACTTCCAACACGTTACTGTGGTGCCTGCTCTACATGTCTCTCTACCCAGACGTACAAGGTAAATATATTTTTATTCTAGGTGTTTTATTCCAAACTGTAAAGTTCTAGATGAATGTTCAGAAACAGAAGCAAACAGTGACGGTAGACAAGTCATTTGGAGTGCAAATAGTACATGTGTTCATGTAATTTGAAAGGTTAATATGTAATCAGACATCTATCCTGCTCTGCTATGATGATCTCTAGGTTAGTGGTCTATATCAACTATCTAAATGGCCCTTTATGCATTTCTTCTGTTTGGGGACAACTTTCTTTCCCAAACTATTCCAGGGAACCTTAGCATGTTTGAAAGGCTTTGGCAATTGTGGCATTCCAGGCCTATAGTAGTGCTATAATATATGTGATACATAGTGGTAAGGACTGCTTTTATGCCTCCCTGAGGGAGGTGGTTGAGCCTAGTGGCAGAGTCTGGGGAAGTGAAACACTACCCACTGCAGAGGAAGATCAAATTAGACATAGCTTAAGCAAAGTGGACTTACACAAGTCCACGTCACCAGCTGGTCAGTGTCATCCCAAGGCCTCTCCCCATCAGTCTTGAATGGTCATGGCAGTTGGGTAGGTTGCTGATGACGGGGGAGGAAAAGACACGTGGAGCACGTGGCCGCAAGGGAGAGGCAGAAGAAATTGGGCTTGTTCAGTGTTAGGGCAAGGTGACTGAGGGGAGACCTTATGCTGTCTACAGCTACCTGATTGAAAGATTCTAAGAAGATGGAGGCAGTCTCCTCTGAGGTGTGCAGTGGAGGGAAGAGAGGCAACAGAGACAGTCTACAGCAAGAAAATTCTGATCAGATACTGGGAAAAAAAATTTCCCTATGAAGGTAGCAAGGAATGCAACAGATTGCCCTCAGAATGAACAAAATCACTGGCTTTGAAAATATTCAAAACTCAGTGGGCTATGACCCTGAGTAGTCTGATCTGTCCTCAAAGCTGGATCTAGCTTGGAAGATGACTTTGCTTTGAGTAAGGGTTTAGATCAGGTGGCCTCCAGAGATTCCTTGCAACTCAAATTATTTGGTGGTGTTAATGGTTACTGTTTGTCACAGAGTTCTAGAAAATTACTTGTAGATTTTTGTGGATATAAAAAATACCAATTATGTTGGAGAGGTTACAATATTCAAATAGTACTTGCTATAGTTACATTTCAGGACTTCTTAGGACAAATTTCCATTGCCAAAGACTTAAAATTCATTTTGGTTAAATGCTTTTCTATACTGAATCTTGTTACAGTACATGTGGCTGCAAAGCCAGCATTTGCTTTAGTACTGTTTAGCAAATTTAGATGGTTGAATGTAAGAAGAATAAAGCAATTGATTTATTAATTCGTTAGCAGCTTCTCCTAAAGTGCTACATAGAAACTGATTTCCACTAGAAAGATTGTCAAGTATATGTGGACTGGAAACCTTGGCAGGATGGACAGATTCTACTTAGGTGATTCTACCTCAGTTTATAGTAGTGAAACATTTCCACAAGAGACCAGTGCTTTGCTCAGACTTCTTGCTAAGAAGACTTCTTGCTTCACTTCTGGAGTGAAGAAGGGTAAACTTCAAGTTATCTAAGAACAATATAATCCTGGAATGCTTTTATCAAGTATTCGAGATTTTGTGGTTTTCATGTGCTGCGGCTGCATTGCAAATAAGCAAATAGATACTTGTTTGCAGCACTTATCTATCTAGAATAATCTCTTTAAATAGGTCAAGATCATAGTTTATTGCACAAAGTCAACCCAGTTGTTGAGCAAAGATTGCAAAATAGGGCATCGGTTCAGTATATGGGAGAGACAGTCCCCTGGGGACAAATGTAAAGTAAAATTTTATTGCATATGCTTATTAATCTATTTTTAAGGCTTGTGTGTTATCACTATGTCCTGGTTTTGGCTGGGATAGAGTTAATTTTCTTCCCAGTAGCTGGTATAGTGCTGAATTTTGGATTTAGGATGAGAAAAAAGTGTTGATAGCACACTGATGTTTTGGTTGTTGCTAAGCAGTGTTTGCACTAAGTCAAGGACTTTCAGCTTCTCAGACTGCCCCACTAGCGAGGAGGCGGGGGGTGCACAAGAATCTGGGAGGGGGCATGGCCAGGACAGCTGACCCAAACTGCCCAAGGGATATTCCATACCATGCCATATGACATTATGCTCAGTATATAACTTGGAGGAAGCTGGCTGGGGGTGCAACCGCAGCTCAGGAACTAGCTGGATATCGGTCAGCAGGGGTGAGCAATTGTGCTGTGCATCAATTGTTTTGTATATTCTTCTATTATCATCATCAGCCTTTTCTGTCCTATTAAACTGTTTTTATCTCAACCCATGAGTTTTACCTTTTTTTTTTTCCTGATTCTCTCCCACATCCCACTGGGGGGGGAGTGACTGAGCAGCTGTGTGGTTGTTTCAGCTGCCTGCTGGGTTAAACCATGACACACTGCTTGACTTGATATGCAGTTACATGAATTAGATACGTTCTAATGAGATCAAATGAGATCTAGGAGAGTTTTGTGTTTGTTTTTTTTAACCTCTTTC